GTACAATGCGACGTAGGATTATATCTTACTAGGCTAACAAAATCGTATAAAAAACAAATATCGGTGGTATGACTAATAGTGACTGTAATGCTCAAAACACCCGTGTGGTATCCCCTATACCGACACAAAAAGATACATACAGTACAAACACAATGGATGGAGCAAATATACTATTCTCAATTGATTCTGTGGAGACAGAGAGGTATACAAAATAGTGCAGATAACTTTACAATATCAACACAAAGGATAACATGTGTAAGTAAGCACTCACAAAATTAGAGCCAATATAGAACCTGGCTCTGGTATTGATAGCCTCAGGATGTATTCCAGGGTGATCCAAATCCCTCTGTGAGTGGTTGGTATATCCAATGGAAGCTTGTTCCCAATAATAAATTGCAGAAGATCCAGTGGATAGAAAGGTAAAAAACTATATTTATTAGATACTGATTGTGGTGACATTCTGTCATCAAACTAATATGGTGACCAGGGGTCATGTGACCAAGCTCATGTTTGCTTTTCTTACAGTGGGATAAGCTTTACCCTTTTGAAATGTTAATTGGTAATTCAATACCTTTACAAGTCAGGAAAGAGATAACCACTTCCCCTTTCTCCATTCCTCTCTGTTCCTTCTTGGCTGTGCTACTGAGCAGTCCTTTAAGCAGACATGGCCTAATTTCCATCATGGTGAACTGTGAGTGGGATTTTATAAGATGTAGTTGTTATTGTTAGTTAGGTTGTTGTTGCTGTTGTTGGTGGTATAGTTAGTTAGATTGTGTGTCATTATTTGTATGTTGTTGTTGTTTTGTCTCTGAATAAATATTTGTTAAAGTAGACGGACCAGAGTTTATATGTGTATGCGTACATAATAATTTATAGAGTTTGGTAATACACCACATTTGGCGACCACGAAATTTAGACTTCTACAACAAATGTTTGTGAGGCGCAATAACTACCATATTGATACATAATCTAAGAGAAAGAGACTTTATAGCATAGAATTCATTTTGTTGAAACAAATATACATATTTGTTTTGTTGACTGTTTTGAATTTGTGTATTGTGACTGACAGACCATATTTTGATGCAAATTGTAGCATTTATAGGTTTAACTTTGTTTCTGTACAGTTTTAAAGTATTGGTGATAAAAGGGGAAAATTGAATTGAATTGGAACCTTTGGTGTTTTGGCCATTTTTAATTGCCCATGCGCTGTATTGTCTCTCTTGTTGCAACTAACTAGAATGAAACTTAATCTATTTTAATTGTCTTCTTAGGTGTTAAATTGTGCGGCTTCACTGCATTCTAAGTTAAAATAGCAAACGTTTTTTGTTGTTATCTTTTGTCTGTTTGAATCATTGAATTCAGGATAGGAGCATAATGTTTGTGCATTATGACTGACAGAACGTATTTTGTTGCAAATTGTAGCATTTATAGTTTAATTTTGTTTATACACAGTTTTAAAGTATTGGTGATTAAAGGGGAAGATTGAATAGTTGCACTGCATTGGTACTATTGATGTTTCGGCCATTTTTAATAGCCCATGTGCTGTATTGTCTCTCTCCTGTTGCATCTAACTAGAACTAAACTGAATATATTGTAATTGTTTTTAGATGTTACATTTTGTACATTTTGTGGCTTCCCTGCATTCTAAGTTTAAATAGCAAACTGTTTTTTTGGTGGGTTATCTTTTGTCTGTTTGAACCATTGAATTCTGGGTAGGAGCATTGTGTTTACATGATAAAGGTATTGGGGCTAATACAGTGTGGTGGCTATTGTTTAGCCAGGCTAAAATTTAAATTTTTACACTGTGTGTTTAATAGAGAATGAACAGTTTGTATTTGAGGTAAAGGTGCCTATGTTAGATTGTTATATGGTTGGGAATTATCATTGTGCTGAAGTTACAGTCAGGTATTTTTCAGTTCCCATACCTTCCTTTAAATCATTCTGTTTATTTGTAAACCCCCCACACTGCACTTAAACAAAGGCAAAAGGGTGGTTTTGTGTTTTGCTGCCTGTGGGCATTTGTTGTATTGAGACTGTGAAGTTTTTTTTTCTTAAAAGACAAGAGTTTGTTTGAATAGGTTAATGTAATTAAGTTTCTCAAATGGTTCAATCTCTTTGGAGCCAGTTTCAGTTTTTTAAATTAATCCCATTGTTAAAAGCGTGTTGTTGTTTTTTCCTTAGTCTGCTGGTCTATTTTGATTAAAGACCTAGGGAGAGGTCGGTTTTAAAATGTCATATCTAGGTACTAAGTATTTTTCTGCAGAAGTACTAGAGTACTTTAAGAATGACATTGACAAACATGATGGACCATATGAGCTTCCAGAACCAGCAGGCCCCTATTGTGGAAAATATGAAGATTTCATGGATGTTTTGACACACAGATTGTTACTAATAAAAAGTGCCATATTAAGAAAAGGAAAGGCTTGGTGACACAAGCGGTTGTTGCTGCAATAGGGGGTTTGGCAAGCATGGTACTCGAATTGCAGCAAGCTAATTTAGTAACCACTAATAAAATGGAAGATGCTCTTGATGAAAGAGATTGTTTTAAAATAGCTGCCCTAAGAACAAACAAAATGATCGAGGGGTTGGAGAAGGAATTAAAGGAAACAGAACAACAGAGAGATGCATATAGTGCTACGATCACTGAACTCCAAAACCTAGTTATGGAATATAAAATGAAAACTAAAGAAAACATAAATAAATGGGATAAGGAGATTCCTAAAGTATGCCCAGGCCAGTCTCATTTTATATCTAAAGGTACAGAACCAGTGCTCGGAACCAAACACAAGGGAAATGCGCCAGTTGTTAACTGTGTCCCACAAGCCCCTTTAATAATAACTGAACACTTTAATGCAAGAGAAATGCCTACTAGTTTCTCTAGACAGACAAACACTATGTCAATCACAGACAAAGAACATTTCCAGAAATGGTGGGGAAGTATGCCAAATAACAACTTTAATACTTTTACACTGGTTTATGAGGGGAGCAAATAGAGCTAAAAAAGGAGGTTTTAACTTAGAGGAATGGACAGAACTTTTAGAATATGCTATGGGTCCTTTGGCTAGTAGACTATTGGGATTCAATAACAGTGTGTCTGATCAGGCAGGAAGAATTGCTGAAACTAATTTCTATATACTCAGCATAGAGAAAGAAATAGCGAATATTACGATGAGGCCAGCAGATGGTCCTAGAGAGGTAGCTCAAAGGATATTGTTCTGGTATACACTACGCCAACCTCAACATCCCCTGGTGTTGGGCTCACCAGAACACATTGCTAAAGTAATGGAAGCCCTTCCCTGGGAGTGTCAAGAATTTGTCAGGCTTTTTGATCCAACACCAGCAGACTTAGAAATGCTACTAACTAGAGCTGATAATTGGTGGCTTAAGCATCCTTCCTCAGAACAGGCCTGCTCTGTTTCAGCTGTAAGAACATTTAAGGTCGAGTCTGGTAGAGATGTAGATGGTAAATGGAGAAGCCAGAGGTGGGGTGTACCCCAGAACAAGAGGGATAATGAGAACTGGAGACCAAAACAGGGCTTTGACAAAAGATGGAGAGATCCACACAGGGACCATGGGAATGTAATGGGAGATAATTGGAGGAATAGATGGGAGGGGCCTAAGGTAATCAATAATAATTGGAATAATAATACCTGGGAGAGGCTAAAAAGGAGAGATAACTCAGAAAATCACAGTTGGCAAGAAAAACAGAGAAACAACAGGAACAGTTATAGGGAGAATAATTGGAAAAGGAACCATAGATGGGATGAGCATCAGACCAATAGACGGAATTGGGATAATTGGAGGAATAAAGAAGGGAATACAGACTACTGGGAAATAAAGAGACAGACTGAGAGATTGGAGGCAGACGTGAAAGTGCTTAGGGAACAGATGAGGAAGGGAAATACTGATCAATTTGGGGTCCCCAGCAATGAATAACTCCCATAATTTTTGTTGTCCTCTACATCCTATGTATGTTTGTTTTTCTTTTGTTTTGTTCTTTCTCTCAGTCTTCCAGTCTCCCATTTAGCTATTCCTTTCTAATGATGAGATCTAGTGTTCCCACAGAGCAAGGCAAAGCTGTATTAGGATGATGATGTGTGTCAACAGAAGATCGTAGTGGATCCTTGTTACAGGATGGATAAGTATACGCTGTATCACAGTAGGGATGGGAGACAGGCAATACGGCCAGAAGATACTCCAAATAAGGGAGAGGTTTACAGTCTATATTTTAATAATCCTTCTATTCCTCCAAGGTGTCCGGAACAACGGCGACAGTGTTTTAGGCAAAGCAGGGTGTCAGGAAAAATGGGACAATTTACAGCTCTACTGGGAGGAGTCGGAACTGGATTGAGAGTATGGAATTCTGCAAATATCACATCCAGTCCTACAAACTTTGCCGCTAGTATACTTTTGTGTGGCAATGAAATAGATGAGGAAGAAACTTGAAAAGGGGGATATTTTTTTTTTGTTTGTTTCTTTTTTGTTTCTCTCTCTCTCTCTCTCTCTCTCTCTCTTTTTCTCTCTCTCTCACACATTCTTCAATAAAGTTTAACATTGCACACACACACTCACCTAAATTCTATAAGTTCTGTTTTTTTTTGTGACACTCTGTATAATATGTGAATTGACAGCCATAGGAAAGTACAGGAGAACTTGTGTCGCTGAGGGAACTATTCCGGAGGGACGGTGGGTTGAATTTCTCCTGTATATCAGGTTTTTGCTCCCACTAGGTTTTCCTGTACTAGAGGGATAACTAGATAACGGAGCAACATAAAAGAAGAAAAAGTGGGGGAATGTGGGGTGATGCAACCCCTATTTGACTGTTTTCTTTCACCCTGCTTATATCACTCACTATAATTCCTGTGCTCCCCTTTCCTACTTCAGATCTCATAGTTTAGATAGAAGGGATAAATTATTATTTTTAAATGTGCTCAACATAAGAGAAGAAAAAGTGAGGGAATGTGGTGACATTCTGTCATCAAACTAATATGGTGACCAGGGGTCATGTGACCAAGCTCATGTTTGCTTTTCTTACAGTGGGATAAGCTTTACCCTTTTGAAATGTTAATTGGTAATTCAATACCTTTACAAGTCAGGAAAGAGATAACCACTTCCCCTTTCTCCATTCCTCTCTGTTCCTTCTTGGCTGTGCTACAGAGCAGATGTGCAGACGCCATGGGCTAGCATGGTGGACCATGTTACACTCTGTTGCTTCCTTTTCTTCCTTGGTGGATGTGATGTTGAACTTGCAGCAGTGAGCCATTACTAGATGTGAAGGCCTAACCGTGGGTGAGATCAAGCGTGTGTGGAAGGGGTTACTATATAGATAGATAGATTTAAAAGGGTTGTTGCTCCGTGGGTCTGGGCTGTGTGTTTGTGATACATTTATAATATTGTGTTGTTGCCTTTTAATAAATACCTTTTAATGTAGACGAACCTTGTGTAGTATATATATTAATTTGGTGATACACCACAGGTGGGAGTAGCATTATGTAGCGATTTGAAAGCAAGAACCAGAATTTTAAATTGAGCTCTTTATTGTTTAGAAAGCCAATGTAGGGACTGACAGAAAGGTGAGGTATGGGAGGTGCGGGCGGACAGGAAAATGAGCCTCGCTGCCGCATTCTTGTAGACCAATATAGTGGAGGATGAGAAGAAGCTGTTGATGATCAACAGTGTCAAAAGCCGCAGACAGGTCATAGAGAATTAGGATAGACTAGTGACCACGAGATTTTGCAGTGAGTAGATCATTGGATATTTTGGTCAGTGCCGTTTCCACAGAGTGCTTAGCACGGAAACCAGACTGAAGCGGGTTTAGCAGAGAGTTGGACTCGAGGAAGTCTGTCAATCTTGCGTACACAATTCTTTCAAGGATCTTGGATGCAAAAGGCAGTAGTGAGATAAGATGATAGTTGGATGGGGAGTTAGGGTTAAAATTGGGCTTTTTTAGAATTGGGGTAACAGTTGCATGTTTGAAGGGCGATGGAAATATACCAAAGGAGAGAGAGAGATTGAGAATTTTAGTGATAGGTGGAGAAAGAGTACGGATGAGATGCCAGGGAATTGAATCTAGGGAGCAGGTGGTGGGGCAGAAGGACTGGAGCAGAGAAGAAACCTCTTCCAATGTAGCGAGTGCGAATGAACATAGAACAGCAGAGGGAGTGAAGTTAGGGGAAGTATTGTAAGGGGAAGAAGAAAGATGAGAGATCTCTTCTCTGATTGCAGAGATCTTGTCAGTGAAGTGAGTTGCAAAGTCTGAGGCTGTCAAGTTAGTAGGTGGAGGAGAGGAACAGCAGGGCGAAGAATGTGTATGTATATGTATAATATGTGTATATGTATATATACACCCTGTTCAAAATTATTATGCAAATTCTATTTGTGTCACAAACATTAAATATTTAGTTTTTTAGTTTAACTCATGGATGGCATTGTGTCTCAGGGATCTTTTGATCACTGAAAACAATCTCGGACACCTGTGAAAATTAGATTGCCAGGTGAGCCCAATTTAAGGAAAAACTACTAAAGGAGGGTGTTCCACATTATTAAGCAGAGCACCATTTTCATGCAATATGGGGAAGAAAAAGGATCTCTCTGCTGCCGAAAAGAGTGAAATAGTTAAATGCCTTGGACGAGGTATGCAACCGTTGGATATTTCACGAAAACTTAAGTGTGATCATCGCACTATTAAGAGATTTGTGGCTGATTCAGAACACAGACGGATTTGTGCAGATAAAGGCACATTGAGGAACATTTCTGCCAGATCCATGCATCGGATCAAGAGAGCAGCTGCTAAAATACCATTACATAGCAGCAAACAGATATTTGAAGCTACTGGTGCCTCTGAAGTCCCACGGACATCAACGTGTAGAGTCCTCCAGAGTCTTGCAACTGTGCATAAACCTTCTATTCGGCTACCACTAACCAATGCTCACAAGCAGAAACGGCTGCATTGGGCAGAAAAATACATGAAGATTAATTTTCAAACAGTCCTGTTCACTGATGAGTGCCGTGCAACCCTGGATGGTCCAGATGGATGGAGTAGTGGATGGTTGGTGGATGGTCACCCTGTTCCAACAAGGCTGCAACGTCAGCAAGGTGGTGGTGGAGTCATGTTTTGGGCCGGAATCATGGGAAGAGAGCTGGTCAGCCCCTTTAGGGTACCCGGAGGTGTAAAGATGACCTCTGCAAAGTATGTGGAGTTTCTGACTGACCACTTTCTTCCCTGGTACAGAAGGAAGAACTATGCCTTCCATAATAAAATCATCTTTATGCATGACAATACACCATCTCATGCTGCAAAGAATACCTCTGCATCAATGGCTGCTATGGGGACAAATTGAGAGAGAGTCATGGTGTGGCCTCCATCCTCCCCTGACCTCAATCCTATTGAGAATCTTTGGAGCATCCTCAAGCAAAAGATCCATGAGGGTGGGAGGCAGTATACATCCAAACAGCAGCTCTGGGAGGCTATTCTGACATCTTCCAAACAAATTCAAGCAGAAACTGTCCAAAAACTCACAAGTTAAATGGATGCAAGACTTGTGAAGCTGCTATCAAATAAGGGGTCCTATGTTAAAATGTAATGTGACCTGTTAAAATGTTTAAAAAGTTAAAATGTTGTTATAAGTTTGATTGAAATAGCTTTTGATTTCATTAAATATGCTGCAAACACAACAAATGACAATTTTCAGTTCTTTACAACCTATAAAGTGTTTTGAAACTTACTGTGCGTAATAATTTGGAACAGTGCATTGTAAGTTTTTTATGTTTAAAAAAAAATACTGTTATCATTAGGAGATTTGTTCAATAAAATTTGAATTGTACTCTTAATAGTTGATAACATGAGAATTATGCTGACTGTTATTTACATCAATTATTTAGGTAAATGAGAAAAATATAATGCATAATAATTTTGGACAGGGTGTGTGTGTGTGTGTATATATATATATATATATGTATATGTATATATATATTTTTTTTATATATATATACGAAAAGGACTGCACTCACCTGAACATGCATACATTATAGGGTGTTGCTGGGGTCAAAATATACAACATACAAAATACACAATCCAGCGCACTTGCTTTTTCACTAAACAATTATGTTTAAATCTTAGAGATTGTAATAATTTTATTTAAAAACACCTCACTTAGGCAAAAAATAATGGGGGTTTAGTTAAAATATATTATCATACATTGGCAGGTCCTACTCTAGCAGCTTAATGCTTGCTCTTAGGAGGTTAATCCACTTACTTGGGAAATACTTTCTTACTGGGACACTGTGCAACCAAATTGATTGGTTGGAAATGTGTTTGCCATCCTGTTTTTGTTTCATTTCTTTGTGTAGTCTTGCCAGGATAAAGATTGTTCTTTCAGCTTCTACTACGTTTATTTAAAGACCGTTCTTGTGTCCCCATAATATAAAAAAATATATATTTTGTAGAAGTGGAAGACATATCGCTTTGTGATTCAGGCTCAACGGGGTCATCTACTCTAATAAAACAGTAATGAAAGTTTCACCCTTGCCGCCAAAGAAACCTATTCAATTTTCTATTACAGGGTTTAAATTATGGCTGATAGTACTATAGCTAAAACAGTAAAACTGTAATCTAATTATATTCTTCTTTTGTTTTCCTCTATGAATGCAGACATAATATAAGCCAGGGGTCAAGTCCTGGGGAAAAAAGTGTGGGAACTAACCCAAGATTCCCGCTTCCAACCCCCCCCCCCCTTAAAAAAAAAATTACACTCCTATGCATATAGTGCAGTGCAGGGTGTGTATAATGAATGTAGTGTGTTTGTAGTGAATGCAGAGTATGAATAATAAATGTAGTGTTTGTAGTGAGTGCTGTGTGAATAATAATTGTAGTGTATTTGTAGTGAGTGCAGAGTGTGTATAATGAATGCAGTGTGTTTTTAGTGAGTGCAGAGTGTGTATAATGTATGTAGTGTATTTGTAGTGAGTGCAGTGTGTATAATAAATGTAGTGTATTTGTAGTGAGTGCAGTGTGTATAATAAATGTAGTGTGTTTGTAGTGAGTGCAGTGTGTATAGTGAATGTAGTGGTTTTGTAGTGAGTGCAGAGTGTGTATAATGAATGCAGAGTGTGTATAGTGAATGTAGTGTGTTTATAGTGAGTGCAGAGTGTGTATAATGAATGTAGTGTGTTTGTAGTAAGTGCAAATTGTGTATAATGAATTTAGTGTGTTTGTAGTGAGTGCAGAGTGTGTACAATGAATGCAGTGTATGTAGTGTGTTTGTAGTGAATGCAGAGTGTGTATAGTGAATGTAGTGTGTAGTGAGTGCAGAATGTGCATAGTGAATGCAGAGGGTGTATAGTGAATGTAGTGAGTGTATTGTGAATGTAGTGTGCTTGTAGTGAGTGAAGAGTGTGTATAATGAATGCAGTGTGTGCGTGTGCTGGATGATGTGTGTGCGCGCTTGATGATGTGTGTGTGAGTGCTGGATGATGTGTGTGCTGGATGATGTGTGTGTGTGTGCTGGATGATGTGTGTGTGTGTGCTGGATGATGTGTGTGTGTGTGTGCTGGATGATGTGTGTGTGAGTGCTGAATGATGTGTGTGTGAGTGCTGGATGATGGGTGTGTGAGTGCTGGATGATGGGTGTTTGTGCTGGATGATGGGTGTTTGTGTGAGTGCTGGATGATGTGTGTGTGTGTGTGGTGGATGATGTGTGTGTGTGTGCTGGATGATGGGTGTGTGAGTGCTGGATGATGTGTGTGTGAGTGCTGGATGATGTGTGTGTGTGTGTGTTGGATGATGGGTTTGTGAGTTCTGGATGATGGGTGTGCTGGATGATGGGTGTGCTGGATGATGGGTGTGTGTGTGCTGGATGATGTGTGTGTGTGTGTGAGTGAGTGCTGGATGATGGGTGTGAGTGAGTGCTGGATGATGGGGTGTGTGTGCTGATGATGTGTGTGTGCGTGTGCTGGATGATGGGTGTGTGAGTGCTGGATGATGGGTGTGTGAGTGCTGGATGATGGGTGTGTGTGTGCTGGATGATGGGTGTGTGTGTGCTGGATGATGGGTGAGTGTGTGCTGGATGATGGGTGTGTGTGTGCTGGATGATGGGTGTGTGTGTGCTGGATGATGGGTGTGTGAGTGCTGGATGATGGGTGTGTGAGTGCTGGATGATGGGTGTGTGTGTGCTGGATGATGGGTGTGTGAGTGCTGGATGATGGGTGTGTGTGTGCTGGATGATGGGCGTGTGAGTGCTGGATGATGGGTGTG